ATGGTTCGAGTTGGTTTGAAAATGGTTTTTACTTGGTGTTTCTCCAATATCTTGCCGATCCTGTCCGTGACTCCATGTATGTACGGGAGGCAAGCCCAACCTTTATGCTCATCATGCGTCTCGGATGATCATCGCTCGGAGACAACAGACAGCAAAACAATTTTAACAGAAAAGAAGAAATTACGGCACTCAATCCAGATTGGAAGCGCGTTTTGCGCCAAACAGCATGTGCGCCGAAGCGTTGGAACCCCCACCCATCCCCCACGCATGAGCACACACGGCTGGGCGGCATAAATACCACTGGGAATCCAGCAGTTGAATCATTCTTAGTCGGAAAGCACGGGAGATCACTTCGCCCACTGCCTCATCGCATTTGAAAATGTCCACCGCAGTTGTGGACGAAACGTCAGGAAGAAATTCCGATAGACCACGCCTTCAAAGCCCGGAAAACATTCCTAAATGTAATCTGACCGGCCGTGAAAGCCTTCATAGTCTGATAAACTTTTATTGTTATAAAAAAGAAATGATTATTATGGTTTCAAAGAGGATTTTTAAATTTATGGTATCTAAAAATCGGGTAGATTTAATAGGTATATAGAAAGTGGCTAAGCAAAAATCGTTGTTGCAACAACGCTTCTAGCGTCATAGAAAAATAACAAATTTCTGTAAAATCAAATGTTCATTTAATACAAAAGTTGTTATTCTTACCACATTGGGTGCTAATACATAATTCTTCAGACAAATCATGAGCGTCGATACTAAAAGTGCCATTTTTGATGCCAATCATGTTGCTGGACTCAATTTCGATGCAACTTTGAACATCGGGCAAAAAATCCGGTTGTTTAAGCGGAAAGTCTGGAAACGAATCCTTGTATAGTATATTATATATATATCCCTATAGGGTGAGTCCAAAATCAGTGCAAATATTTCTTGAGCATATTTTTCCGTTCAAATTAACACTCATTTTTTTCAAAAAACATGATGCTCATTCCAAATTCTAGGCGACGAAAGCGGCGCAAATAAATTAGAAATTATTGTGTTGAAAATCTGAAGATGGTTGTCAGGCAATATTTTCGAAACAGTTTGAGCTTTTTGCAAAACATCTCTAGAATCACCTCCCAAACTATACCGACATTAGCTTCAGACACACTGTATATTCAATTCTTATTTGGAATGTTCTCTTCTTTCTATCGAATTCAAATATAATTAAATGTAAATCTATACAGGGTAATGGCATTCGGAAACGCATATACAGGGTGTCTGAAAATAACGTCGATATAGTTTGGTAGGTAAATAATCGTAATTCTACAGATTAATGGACTAAAATGATTTGCGCAAAAAGCGCAAACTGTGTAGAAAATATTGTCTGATGACCATCTTCAGAGTTTTTCTGGAAGGCTGCTCAAAAGCAAAGTTTTGAGTATTTATAATTTATTTTTTATTTTTATATCTATATTTATGTTTCAACGTATTCCAGATATCCTGTATCTATCCAGAATTGCATTAATTATTTTCTAAAGTGTTAAAGTTTGTTGAGCTACTTATAAGGTCACTAATTTTTTTTTTTAAATATGCGCAAGAACTTACCTTCGACAAAGAACTCTTTGTTAAGATCCTCCAATTGTCTAGTGGCTTCCTCTGTTTCCATAGAAGCCTTGAAGTCCATCGTGTGATAATTATTATTGTTGCAAACACCTGTATGACAATTTACGCATTCGTCAGACTGACAGGTTGGGGACATATTAGGGCATCTGGCTGTTGCCTAGCAATATGAATTGTCTGTCAGTATCGTAGGACGATGTGATGTGCATGTTGATTAATCACAATATCTTCAATCTGAGCGTTTTCGTGATGTTGATTCGTAGCTTTGTTGTGGTCATGGTAGATTTATACCTGAGAAGAAAACCCGGTAATTATTTAATGCGTATAATATGCGGACAGTGTACATTTGCCGGTACTTTTTATTTCAAATTTGACAAAAGTTTTTGTGGCTTTAGCGAGGTTCTAGCTGTTAGTGCAGAACAAAATGTATTTTTAATCAGGTCTACTAACTCAATTTATGTTAATAGAAGCTTTCAAATCATATAACTTTGATATAAGTTTAATTGTCATAGGGACGTTTGAAACCGCAGCAATTTTGAGGTTAGCCAAATAAGGTTGGGGGGTGAACCATATACCGGGTGTCCCACCGGGAACCACCGCGATCGATATATGGCAAACTATAATTAGGAGAAATTTGAAAATTGTACCGTAAAAGTATATCGAAGTCATGATGGGCAAGCGATCTAAACTATTTTCAAGATACCCACCCGTTTATATCGAAAATAGCAATCAACCTGCTTATTTTAAGTGAGACACCTAGATATTATGACGTTTTTGAATAAAAATATTACTTTTACTTAATTTGAGGAGCATTCCTTGTTGAAAAGGATTTCGTTAATAGAATTTTGATAACATTTTGTTATCAAAGTTTGTATAAGGTTGCCTATTCCAAAAGTGCTAGGTTTTCGAAATATTTTCAATTCAATATTTTTATATGGTTATTGCTGCAGATTTTAAATGCAGTCACTCTTAGTTGCCATGCCGAAATTATTATCAGTTAACCTATTGGCAAATAAGGGAGACTGCATTTAAAATCCGCAGCCAAAATTAGATTTCCGCAGCTAAATTAATAGAACATGATTCACTTTTTGAGTATACTTTCTGCGATAATTTGATTAGTTTTTTTTTAATACGGAAAATATCATAATACATTTATGTATTTTTCGTCGCCAAAAGATACTATAAATATTCTGAATCAAGTAGTGCATTTGTATAATATTTATTTAATTATCGGGAAAGAACCAACTGTCATTTATATGCAAAAGACAGAATAATACCGAATGATACAGGCAGTTCGAAATAATAATCTACTGGAAAGGTTCAACCGCTGCTTGTTTACTTACGTGAAAATAGTACATATACATGCAATATCCAGCATTTGCTGTAAGCCTGAAAGGAACCAGAAAAAGGAATTTCTCATTTGAAACGTAATTTTGGAAAAGCAGTAAATGGGAGCATATTGTAGATGTAAATGAAAGATAAACTGTGTGCCCAGAACGTTTCGGGATAATTATTGCAACTCTGAAGCAGGAAGGAAAAATTAATTTTAGTTAATTGCATATGGAGGAAAATGTTATCAAAAGGGGTTGAATTAAGAAATTCGAATTACAGAGCAAAAAATTAAAAATTGTAGAAAAATATGCACAGACAACAAAAATTTAGAATAATGCGCGATAATGGTGAAATGATTCATCAGTTAGCATTCTCGCAACAGAAACTTGAGCCGAATTCTTGATGAATGTCTATGAAATCCAAATGAAATTATATGTGAGGCATAAAAAGCTGGACTTTTGGTCAGTAAAAAGCTGGACATGGTATTCAAGCAACGTCACCTTCAATATGATTAAAATCACCAATTTCCAATACATTCTATATTAAGGACATTCAACACATGGACAATGCGCTTTATCTTTACCGGTTGCACATGAAATTTCTGCAACGAACACATCGAAAGAGCCGAAAACTTACAGTTTGACGGCTACATTTTCAAAAAACTGATGCGAAAGACTGACCACAACGCTAACGGATTACTGGGCGACCATTCCACGAATCGCATGACTAAAATGGAGGTTTGATCTGGAGAATCAAATGCCCACGAACATGGAAATCGACCGGTGTGACGTCATGTTCATTCCAAATACTGACCGCTTGCGATCAATATTTTTCCAGGAAAGCTTCCCATTTTACTGGATTGTTCACCCGACGAGCCTGGATGGGATAAACCATGCATTTTGGAAAATGGCATGAGAAGTTGGATATTTAAAGTGGTGGTAAGTTGCAACAGAATCCACAAGTTTTTGACTCTGGATTAATCAGTTAGATGAAGAGTTAAATACTACTGGAAATGGTTCATCTATTCATGAGTTTTCCATTTATTTAGCGCTGTTGATGTGCTAAACACTAAAAGCGTCTGAAAACCTTCGGGATCATCACCTTCAATGTTTAGGATGAAATTTTCGTATTTTTTAGTAAACATGTTTTTGTTATTTTATGTGAATCATGTATAGGGACTAACAATTAGTGTCACATGTTTATGATCGAATAAGAAAAAATGTACTTATGTTTTTGAGAAAAGGATCGATCTAGATGAATCAGCTCATTATGAACGCCATCACGCCTTTGGTAAATTTTACAAAATGAAATTGTCCAACTACTGTTCTTCAATTTATTTCTTTAAAGAAACTTTCGTTCTCTCAATTAGTTCTGTTGCGGAATTTTGCGACTGCTTTCTTTTGAGCTCATTTCTTTAACTATTCATAAGAATATTAACTGAGGAGGGGACTCACAACGCACAATTTTTGAGAAAATTAACCAAACTGAGTTTGACTTCTTTACGTTAAGCCATGTTTCAAAATTTAAATAATACATTTTTAGCATTGCAAAATAGGATTAAAAACTTTTCACATCAAACACATTTTATTTGCTTCAATCATTTATCAAGTGTGCTTGTTTTATTACTCATTAATTTTTTTATTACCTTTTTTCGCGTTTACTTTGTAATTATTGCGATGCTCAATGCTACCCCCTGGTAAAAAGTGGCATTAAAAATTCATTTACTTCCACCTGACAAGCATTGTTAGGAAAATAGAGGGAAATAAAGGGTAAGGGATACTCACTTGTGTAGTTGAATGGATGTAAGGGTTTCAAAACTGGAAGTTTGTTGGTTTTGGGGGTTCATACCATTAACTTCTTTAAGTGCATTTTGTGGATTTTTACTCGAATTGATTATAAAATCATTGTTTTTTATTCTTTGCAATGCCGGTAAAACGTGTGTTTTATACAGAGAACAAACGGTGTCCAAAAATAGCCAGATTCTTATTTTGAATGAAAATGTTTTTAGAAATTAAGTCAAAACAGCTTCACTTGCTCAGCAGATTTTTGCATCAAATACCATAAGCGTATATAATTCTGAACATTGGAGCCAATGACTTTAGGAGCTAGTTTTTGGAAGAAAAAAAATATATCGCATTGGCAGAACAAGAAAAATTGAGCAAAATACATCGGAATTGAAAGATCGATGGCTTCTCCATAATTTACCAGAATACGACGGTCAGTTGTTATCAATTGACGCTGTTCAATTTATTAGGCACAAAAACGGAAGCGTAATCAATGTAAAATTGGCATCGGTTGTTAGAACTGCATCGATTGATTTGCGTTTTTCCAGCATTGTGAAATAATATTTTTTTACTCTTCTGTGTAAAAAGCTGGCTTATTTCGGAATCAAACCATCATAAACTTGCTAAAATGCATTAGGGAAAATAATTAACCTTTCAATTAATGCTTCGAAACCCTATTCAGACCGACTTTATAATGAAGAATCGTTTTAATAATATTTAAAAAATATGTATTCTGAAACGTTTTTTAATTTGTATTTGGATTATTCAGACTTGTTAATTTTACAATCGATTATTTCTAGCATTTTAGGGCGCTTTTATACGATTTATTAGACGTACACTCTACTGATTGTTTTGTTCTTCGAACGTGAAAACTAATAATAATTTTTAAAGTTATTAAATGTGAAATTGGCTGACCGAAATTACTATTGAAATAAAATACGCAATGAATTTTTAAAAACAATACAAAGGTTATTTAAAAATGGAAAAACAAAAGAAAGCTCTTGGATAAATGTTTGCTTGTCGGCTTTTTCTATTTCGATATTATTTGAATATATTATGGTAATATTCATATTTCAGTACTAATGTATGGAACAAAACGTTGTTTTCTTAGAGAGTAAGTTTTATCCGTAAAATAAATGAAAATTATTTTTATTGGTGCTGCAATGAAGGTTTTGACCAAAAAGTACCTCTTACACCCAAGATTTTGATTCAGTGAACTTTTTTTCTTTTTTCTTCTTATTTGGTTTTCTGTTTAAATCAAAGTTTGAGTTAATGGATTTTACATCTCAAATGTTACATTTTGGGTAAAAAGTATTATATTTCAAACAATTGGGCATCAACGGTAGGTACCATTAAACATAAAAAAGGAGAAAATGCACTTTATTCTTAACATTGGCCATTAGAAGTGCTGGCCAATATTGAAAATAACACTCTTGTAAATATATCTAAAAGTACTAAATCATGAACATTTTGAGACAATTTTGTTACCAAATTTTCAGGTAAAAACAAATGACCCACACACGGTGTAAAATTGGTATCAATCAGCCAAAAGTTCAATGTTTTTGGCAAATTTAAAACCCTTCGCTCTACTACTATTTAGAGATTTGAATGAATATTTATTCGAATTGAGCGCAACATTTTCGCCAAGCTTCTACATCGATATATTAGAACCTTCTTGTCCTCTTTCTCGGAATTAATTTCTTACCGATAACGTGAAATGGTTGTTTGCCTCCACGTTTTTCCTGTGTTTTCCCCACTTAACAACAAGTCTATTTTTTGACGAACTAATTCTCGAAAAATACGCAATAATAGTAGAACGACTACGATGGACAGGTGCGCTTTTGTCCCATGGGTCGTATCGACCATTCACTCGACTTGCTACCACTTTACTGACTATGGAAATAACAAAACAACCACCATATCGGACGGGGTCGATTGGTGTCAGGTGGATCGAAACAGCGAATGACGAACTATTATCCTAATAATGATGCCAGATAGAGCAGCTCATAAACTATGTGAACCATATTTAACAAACTCACATATATTACAGTAATAATGTCTGGCGTTTTTTTTCTGCACTGATGGTTGTTTGACCTAGAAGTCGGTTCAGTTTGACTGAAACTGGGTAGTTTGCATTGTAGATCACAGATAGAATAGAATATGCTAGGTCTAGCTCATATAAAGCGGGACATGAGTGCAGCAAGTTTTTTTAATCACTTTTTTATCGGTTTTAAATTTCTCATTGCCGTTTTGCAAGAAGTTTCATAAATAATTTGCCTACCTTCTTATTTTAATTTTTATTTAGTCATTTTATTTAGGATCATATTGTTCCTAGTCCAAGCTTTTAAGATTAGGAAGTTTCTAAATCTTCGAAACAAAATACATTTTTTTTCAATCATCACAAACAAGTTTCTTTGCCCCCACATTGAGCACGAAATAGAAAAAGCTAAAGAAAAGGAGAATATCCGAATTTTCAAAGAAATTCTCTTGGCACCATTTAAAAAAGTTGGTCAGTTTATTTACGCGGCTTTCGATTAATGTAAGAGCATTTTCACTTATGATCGTATTTTGATTCAGCAAATTTGTCTTGACTATTTCTCATCCGCATTCTTTCATTTGATTATTTCTCTTTTGCTTCAAAAATATGTTTGCTTTCATCAACCGAAAAAAATATCAATAGATGCGTCCATAGATTACGAATATCGTGAATAAATCAGGCTTTCGTAAGGCGATAACTAATAAATTCTTAAAACTTTAAACACACACGACTTGCAGAAAACCTGTTGGTTTTTCCTTCAAAATTCTACAGGGTGTCCCGTAAGCACATGATCAAAAGGATACTGCGATATTCTTTGCATCAAAAGAAGACGATCTGACCTAACTTTTATTAACAAAAACTGTCTGGCTTCTCTGCTATTGATGGTCAAAGTTCTTCAAAAAATAATAAATTTTTCGAAATATCGGGAGAATGGTACGATGTATTTTAGTGAAACTCGCTGTGAATTTGTTCTTATGTAAGACTCATATTTTGATGAAACAATCGAGTTCATCCGTTTTGGACAAGAGGAGAATTCTTGAGGGTCGTGGTACAAAAACTACCAGAACTTTTTATTTGGTGGATGAAAGCAAACTAATTTTTTTTCAGATGATGCACTAATTATTTGGTCACAATTTTGTGCTCTTTGTAAAATCTTGTAGCATTCATAGTTTTTGCGAAAAAAAATGTTTCGCTTTTCTTGCTACTTGACCATGTTAGATATTAACTGCAAATATCGTGATACAAGGCATAAAATAATTGTCAATTTAATCTCACAAATTCGTTTTGAATGACCTTTTCTAATGAAGACGTGACCGACATGCTCAAAGTATTAGGGTTTTGCGAAGACAACTTGCGGGAAAGCGTACGCGTTTACGCGGCGCATATTTGCAGTTAATGTCAGCATTGTTAAGTGGCTAGAAAACAGACATATTGTTTTTACGCAAAAACTATGAATACTACAAAATTTTACAAAGAGCACAAAATTGTGAACAAATGATTAGTTCATAAACCAAAAGAAAAATGATCCATCCACCAAATAAAAAGTTCTGGTAGTTTTTATATCACGACATTCAAGAATTTACCACTCGTCCAAAACGGCTGAACTCGATGTTTTTATCAAACTATGAATATACACTTACATAAGAACACATTCACAGCGAGTTTCACCAAAATACATCGTACGATTCTCCCGATATTTCAAAAAAGATATTTTTTTTGAAGAACTTTGACCATCAATAGCAGAGGACCCAAACATTTTTTGTTAATAAAAGTTAGGTCAGATCTTCTTTTGATTCAAAGTATATCGCAGTGCCCTTTTGATCATGTGCTTACGGGACACCCTGTATATCTAAAAAAATTATGACCATAATCTGGGCCAGAATAGCATGTAATTTTCTCATAGCAAATTTCCCGTAGCAAATAGATTTAGAACCATGTACTGACTTTTTCGATGAACGTTTTCTAGCCTTCCAGCCATGTATAAATTTTGCTCTTATAGTCCAGACAAATCAAGACAAATTTTGTAAATGTGTCCGTAATCAAGCCTCGTCCAGGTGGTCTCAAAAAAAGTCTCATACTTTTATGTGGTTACTCGCATAGTTCCTGTGACGGCCGACATTTTATGTAAAAAATTATAAAATCGAACTTAATTTTCTTGTAAAAAGCCAGTTTTAAAATCAAAGACTTCAAACGAATAACTGAAGTTTATTTAGTTTGGCGCCATATTTTGATCGCTTGTTTAGAACAAGCGTGCACATATTGTGAGAGTTTATCTGTTCTAGTTTCCAGTTAATTTCTCCAATTATTTTGTTTGAAACACCTGCTTCCACCCCTTCATGTTTTTCCTTTTTTTTCATGACTGCCCTATGTGAACCTTATAGACCCCAAATAGCACGTGCAAGCTGCTTCCTCTTCATGCCTGGCCGATTTCCACTAATGTCCTTCATGTTAGGTAAAATATAAAACTACTGTTTGTATATTTTCGTATTTTTTTATGTTTCCTATTTTATTGCTGATACTCCAAGACACTATTATAAAATCATGTAACAATAGGTTATAAATTCGAACCGGTCATCAGAGGGTTTACTAGAAAAGTAACGATAATAAAGTAATAAAGAATATTAACATTTGTAGAAAATGTTACGCATTTTTGCCTGAAATTTGGCTCGAAAAATACTTTAAATTGTTACTTAGTTCTTCGGTAACTCCAAACTTCAATAATTTTTTATTTCAATATCTGGAAGTTGCTATTGAAAGATTGTATCTATTATTGAACCTATTGGAGGCGTTTTCATAATAAAGATTTCAGGCAATTTTGTATATAACAAAATAGATTTTTAACAAAATTTATTTAAACTCAATGAAAATCTATCAAACGCTTAGCTAATATTTTAATTATGATTTCTTAGGACAGTGTAAATGTGCTAAAATGACTTTACTTTATTTACCTCGAATATCACATATGTGTTTTGCATACCTCGGCACGTGCCTTAATAATTATTCTTCGTTATGGTTCGATGGATAGGTTTGCGATGAGGGTACCACTGCATGCGCCAGAAGTCTTTCGGCCACCAACCATATCTCCAATATACACCTGGTGGTGTTGATAACCCAAAAGACCATGAAATATACTCACTTTTTATTAACAATGAATAACTTTTCAGCAGGTAAATTTGTAGAAGTTTAAAAATGGTAAATAACAATTCGGTTCCAAACAGAAGAAATTTAATATTTACTACTAAATAGCCTCAGTTTGGTTCCTGGATGATGTTTTATTGAGGAAATTAATCCTGAATTCCAAATTAGGAAAATACTCACATATTTCATAGGACTTTTATTTCATCACGTTGAAAGAAATATTGCGATTAATTAGACGAGTTAATTGTTGCAGAAACATTTTTAACGTAATTCGTAGAAGGGAGTTTAGTAGGAATAAAATATCTTTCATAAAATATTAAATATTTACTTTTTTATATTCAAATTGTAACTGATGTCGCTGGTAATTTCGATATATCCTTCGAAATATTCTGCTTTTAAAACGTAAGTTCCAAATAAAAGTTTATAATGAAAACTGTTTTTCTAAAGGCTTTAGTAATATGTAATTTTACATTATCGGGAAATATTCAAAATGTTCAATTTTAGCTTCAATTTTTTTAAATTATAATGTTTTAGAAAACTAAATGATTTATCCTTGTAATTTGTCCAAATAATTCTAATCTGATAAGTTTTATATTTTACTTTTGTTATTAATTTCGTCTACTTGAATAAATTAGAAAAAAATGCGTGATAAATGCAGAATAATATATTTTGTAAAAGACCGTCTTGAAAGACCAATGTTTTATGTGACCAATGTTTAAATTTTTTAGGTGTCGATAAAGTTTTTTCTAAAACACAAAGTAAACTTTAGACGAAAAGTGTTTTTTTTTACTTTCTTGTTATTATTAGTACAGGTTTTTCTAGCTTTTACTGCTGTGTCTAAATAAAACATGTTACGAAACAACAGCCGATTCTTCACATATATAAATTTTTTTTGCAAACCTTTATGAATTATATTTTTTGGATCCTCTCAAGATCCTTGAAAACCCCGCTTAAAGCTGTATTTTTGAGACTTTTTCCCCTAACAGCTAAAAAAAAATTCAAGTTTCAGCAACACATTTTCACAAAAATCACTTGTGCATTTAAAGCCACAAGCGAACCCGTGTTTCAAAAATCGCCAAGCCGCTAAATCCTAAATAAAAATAATGCGAGCCAAAGAGATAAAAGGTAAATAACGGTGGCCCCCATGTTTCTATTCGTTGAAGCATGAAGAATTTATCACTGCAAGAATGGCAAAAACACTTTTAATTCGTAATTTATATTTGTAGTGTCTCATTTCCATAATGTCACAGTTAAATGGAAAAAGGACTTTGCTCATCTTGAGGACAATTGTAGAACAGTTCCTAAACCATCATTAAGAAGTATAAAATAAACAGTATCTATGTAATATTTGCAACGCCTGGTTTATTCGTACACAAGATTACAGTTACAACGACAAAATTAACAAATAAAATACTAACATGAGCACCTACAACGATGCAAGTTGCGTAACAACTTAAAACATTTCTACATAGAATGAATCTGAAAAATGTGGTTAAAAACTTCGATTTATCATTCCAAATCACAAAGCGAGCCCTTGCGAATATCTCGTATATCTTCCGAAAATTTCCGGCCATTTATGCTGTCTATCAGGGGCTTTTCGTCTGGATTTTCCATATCTCTAACCGAAAAAGTGTTCGCATTTACTTCATAAGAACTTTGACAAAGTGAAACAATATTGTCTTCTCCCTGTGCCATGAGCGTGCATAGTACTTTGCTATTTACATTTACAAAGACTATGCCAACCTCCTTCTTGTTGTAGGTTTTTGCAAGCGTCTCTAAACTCTGGAAAAATTCGACTGTTAATGAGAGCTAAAATGAACTGAATTTTTACCTTGGCGGCAGAATAGTCGATTTTTATAAAACCGTAACAGTCGAGCGCAATTGGAAAAGTTGGATTTTTGTTGTGGTGCTTTTTTACTTTCTCTGTCAGATAATCGGCTGCCGGATAGAAAAGTCCCAGCTCGGGTTTTATGTAAAGATACTCCAATCCCTTCTCGGACTAAAAACCCAGACAAAACCTGGATTATTTGCGAGAAAATCTGCTTGCTAAAAATACAAAAAGTTTGGACTTTCAGCTACTTACAGTTCTTTTTTCAATGAGAATCCCAGGTCTTGACCAAGCCTTTAGTAGGACCAGAACATTGAAAATAGCCCCAATAACAATGCTCATTTCTACGCTCACTAAAATACC